GGGCCCCCCCGCCCCTCCCGGCCCGTCGCCCTAGGACCCGGGACCCGCGCCGGGAGGAGGGTCGCCGGTCTCAGCTCTTCCCTGTCCCCAGGCTCCCACTCCCTGAGGTGTTTCGGCACCACCTGGTCCCGGCCCGGCCGCAGTGATCCTCGCTTTGTCGCCGTCGGCTTCGTGGACGACACGCAGTTCATGCGGTTCGACAGCGACGCGGCGAGTCCGAGGATGGAGCCGCGGGCGGCGTGGGTGCAGGGGCCGCGGGCGGAGCAGGCGCTCCCGGGGTACTGGGAGCAGAAGACAGCAGACCTCAAGGTGGTCGCACAGGCTGCCCGAGTGGAGCTGAACTTCCGGCGCAGCTACTACAACCAGAGCGAGGCAGGTGAGCAACGCGGCCCGGGTCCCGGTCACGCCCCCCCCCCACGGACGGCCGGGCAGGGGTCTCCCCGAGTGTCCGGGTCCGAGCTTCACCCCGAGGCTGCGGGACCCGCCCGACCCCCCCACCCGGGAAGAGCCCGCGGGGACTTGCACCCGGTGTCATTTTCAGTTCAGGCTCCATCACTGCGGGGCGGGGTCAGGGTCTCACACCATCCAGTGGATATACGGCTGCGAAGCGGCGTCGGACGGGCGCCTCCTCCGCGGGTACACGCAGTACGCCTACGACGGCGCTGACTACCTCGCCCTGAACGAGGACATGCGCTCCTGGACCGCGGCCGACACGGCGGCTCAGATCACCCAGCGCAACTGGGATGCGGAGAGCCTGAGAGACTACTTTGAGGGCAGGTGCCTGGAGGGTCTCCTCAAATACCTGGAGATCGGGAAGGAGACGCTGCTGCGCGCAGGTAAGAGGGGCGCGGGGCTCCTACACGGAGAGGAGGAAATGGGGTGAACACCAGGACACCCTGTCTCCCAGACATCGGGGATGGAGTCCTTCTCGGTTTTCAGACCTGGTACCAGAGAGGGACCCAAAGGCCCACCTTCTCTCAGGGACATTTAGGGGTGCAGCCTCTCAAGGGATGGAGGGGGGACCATCTCAGAAATACCTGATCAGCGGTTCCCTTTGACTCTGGCAGCGGCCCTGGGAACCTGGGGGACTTTCTCTCTCAGGCCTTGTCGCTGCCTCACACACAGTGTCACAGGTATGACCCCAGCTTTTCAGAGTGATTTGGCCTCCACCCAGGTCAGGACCAGGAGTCCCTTTTGTCTCCATCAGAGACCTGTCTCTGATCCTGGGCTGTCTCACCCTGATTCTAGGACTTTGTAAAAAATAGAGATTATCCCAGGTGCCTGTGTCCAGTGTGGTGTGTGGGTTTTGTGCTCCCTTCCCCCACCCCCGGTTCCTGACCATTCTCGGGATGGTCACGTGAGCACTGCTGGAGGATCCCACGAGGGATGCAAAGGTCCTGAATTTCCTGACCCTTCTCCTCAGACCCTCCAAAGACACACGTGACCCACCACCCCACCTCTGACCATGAGGTCACCCTGAGGTGCTGGGCGCTGGGCTTCTACCCTGCGGAGATCACCCTGACCTGGCAGCGTGATGGGGAGGACCTGACCCAGGACACAGAGCTCGTGGAGACCAGGCCTGCGGGGGACGGGACCTTCCAGAAGTGGGCAGCTGTGGTGGTGCCTCCTGGAGAGGAGCAGAGATACACGTGCCATGTGCAGCACGAGGGGCTGCCCGAGCCCCTGACCCTGAGATGGGGTACGGAGGGGGTCCATGGGCACAGAGCCTCTTCTCAGGGAAAGCAGGGGCCTCTGGAGGACTTCAGGTCGGGGCTGAGGCCTGGGGTCAGGGCCCTCACCTTCCCTTCCCTTCCAGAGCCGCCTCCTCAGGCCGCCATCCCTGTGGGCATCATTGCTGTGCTGGTCCTCCTTGGAGCTGCGGTCACTGGGGCTGTGGTGGCTGGAGCTGTGCCGTGGAGGAGGAAGCGCTCAGGTAGGGAAGGGCGGGGACTGGGTTGTTTTGTCCCCTGCGGGGTTTCAAGCCCCAGGTACAAGTGAGTCCTGCCTGTTAGTGGGAAGGACCATCCACACACGTGAGCTTTCCCAGTCTGGAGCCCTATTTGCTAACACTTACTCTTTATTAATGCGCGTGTGAAAATGAGGGACAGATTTATCACCTTGATGATTCTGGTGATGGGGACCTGATTCTCAATAGTCACAGGTCAGAGCAGAATGTCCCTGCTGAGGACAGACCTCCAGGAGGGCGGTTGGTCCAGTCCCTACACATGTACTTTCTTCAGGTTTCCTGATCCTGCTGTGTGTCTGTAGTCACAGTACTGGAAACTTCTCTAGAAACAAGCCACAAACCTGAATTTGTTCATGATTATCTTCTACAGCATGAAACAGCTGCCTTGTGGGGGACTGAGTGATACAAGAGTTGTTCATGCCCCAGTTTGTGACTTCAGGAACCTCTGATCTCTCTTTCTGCAAAGGGCATCTGAATATGTCTGCGTTTCTCTCAGCATCATGTGAGGAGGGAGGAGACTGCCCGCCCCCTGCCCTCCATGCTCCCTCTCCACACTGAGTCTCTTCCCTGACCCACTGTCCTGTTCCAGCAGAGGCTGTTTCCATCCCCGATTTTACTTTGTGTTACACAGAGCTGCAACTTCTTACTTCCTATTGAAAGAAGCATCTGGATATGGATTTATTTTTTCAGTTCTTGATGAAGGGTTGATGGGTTAATTGAAGGAGAAAATCCTAAGGTTTCAGAGGAAATAAATTGAAGCACTGAGAACCTTCCAGAATCCATGTTTTGGCTGTGCTGAGTCTATTGCAGGTGGAGAAAGGAGAGGCTGTGAGCACCGAGCGTGGATGCGGTCTGAGCCCATTCAATGCTCAGTGCATCGTGGGCTGTGACATGGTCACTCCTCAGCTGGGTCACCTCTCTGCCCCTTTGTCCTTGTCCCTTCAGTAGAACCTTCTCCCACCAAGACCTGTGATCACAGGGACTCGAACATCACCCAGGTCTGGTCTTGTCAGTGAGGGCTTCGTGTGGCCAGGTCAGCCTAGGTTCAGGCCTGGCCTGGCCCTCAGCCCCCCGTCTTTTGGGTGTTCGTTTGTATTTCTGTAGAGGAATATGACTTATTGTTCTTATTGTGCGTCCTGGTCTCATTCTCCTCTGGGTGTCCGTTCTCTGTCATCAACAGGAGGTATTTTGCCTGTCATTGTCCCCACAAGGCCCAGCGGGACCCTGCACACACGAATCTGTGGATTGAGAGATGAATTTTCAGACTCAGGCAGCTCTTGCCTCCTTCTAGGGCTTGATGGTTCTTTCCATCTTTTCCCAAACTGTCAGAGGAGCCACATCTGGAATTAGCAGAGGAGGAATCCCGTAATTTCTCATCTTAGATAAGTTCCTGCTGGAATTCTGCTCTGGTCGCCCGCCCTCTCTCCCTGCCCTGAGCTCTAGTGCTGGCTCCAGTCCAAACTCAGGGGTTTATGAAGCAGAGTTTACCTGAGATTTATATATGGTTGAAAAACAGGACCCATAAGTCAAGGCTCACTGTTTCCTGAGGAGGGAAATATAACTGTGCTGTGGTGTGCAGGAGGGCAGGTGTGGGAGAAAGAAGGGGGGAGGGGAGGAGAGCAGCACCCGTGAGAGAAGTGGAGCTGGCACTGATGCCAGTGTGAGGGGACTTCGTGCTGTAGCTGCCACAAAACACCATTTGACCCGAGGCTACATTAACAAAGACATTGTCTCTAGAACAGGGAGGCGCTATCACTGATCATTCATTCACTGACATTGGCTGTGTGCCAAATGTGTGACAGTTTCTGCATCTGGGAAACATCACTGAAGTAAAGTCAGAAAAATGGCTGGCCTTGGGGAGCGTCTGTCCAAGTGGGAAGAGACAGACTAGATCCTATAAGCAGAGTAAACGAGGAAGGTGATTATGTCAGAAGGAGATAAGGTTCCGGGAGAAACGCAATGGGGAAGGGGAGCCAGAGTGTGGGGTGTGGGGACAGGGAAGACGGCCGTGTTGATTGGGGGGGTCAGCGGGCCTCACTGGGAAGCTGACCTTGAGGGAAGACGTGAAGGACATGAGGAATTACCCACCGGGACGTCTGAGCAAGTTCTTTCCAGGCAGGGAAGCTGCAGTGGGAAGGCCCTGGGACAGGAGTGTGTCTGGTTTTGGGAAGAGCAGGGAGGCCGGTGTGGCTTCAGCAGAGAGTGATGGAGGAGAGACAGGTACGGCCAGACCACGTGGCCGGGAGGATGTTAGAGGACTGTTACCTGTGCTCAAAATGAGGTGGGGGTTATAGGACAGTTAGGAGCAGAAGGGGACATGGTGTGATGTCCTTTAAGAGGACCGCTGGGGCTGCGGTGCTGAGAACAGACTTGGGGTGAGGGAGGCCGCCGGGAGCTGGAGGAATCTGCAGGGTTCCGGGCTGGACCTGCTGCCCCTGGGGGTGAGCGGGGGAAATAGTGGGAGTGGGGTTCAGGGTATGTTCTGAGGTGGACATCACAGTGTTTCCTAATGGGTCAGTCTGGGACATGAGAGTCAAGGACCCCACAGTCTCAGAGGGTACAAGTAGAAAGATGGAGTTGCTGTCCGCAGAGATGGGGAAGAGTCTGGAAGGAGCAGATCTGAGGGGTGGGGGCGTCACAGACATTCATTAAGAGATGTTGGAGCTGAGATGCCTGTTAGAACTACAATGAGGTCATCGCACTGGCAGTTGGGCAGATGAGTCTAGAGATTAGGGGAAATGTCCGGGCAGGAGAAATAGACTTGGGAGGTGACACATATAAATTATATATAAATCCTTGAGGACAGATGAGGTCACCAAGGGAGCAATGGGTGTAGAAGAGAAAGGAACAGGACTGAACCTTGGGCCCCCAGTGCTGTGATCTAATCAGACTACACACCCGAGCAGACGGCACAGTTCTGGTACCACGTGGATAAGGCATGTAGACCAGGGAGTCCCCAACTTCCCTGGGCACAGGAATCATCTGGACATCTTATTAAGACCCAGAAAGTCTGGAGCAGAGCAAAGATTCTGGATTTATAACAAGGTTGGTGCTGCGGCTGGTTTTCGGATCACACTTTTAGTAGCAAGACTGTCACCAGGATTCCCACAGGGCTGTGCGTCAGCCTCACTTGCAAGGTTTGTTACGTAAGTGATTTCTGGGCTTGTGTCCAATTCTCTGAGATGATGGTCTGGAAGACACCTGAGTGTCTGTAAAAAGCCCACAAGCTATCCTAAGGTTCAGCCAGCTTAGGAACCTCTGAGATTAGTAATCAGAGCTCAGGGTGGGGAATGGTCTTAAAGGTGTTTTTTCCTCAGAAAGGGGAGGACATACATCGTCAATTATGAGACATGATGTTGGGAGCTACATGCTCTCTCTACCATGGGGTAGAGTCAGGTGGAAGATTGAGGAGTGGGTCACAGGACAGTGTAATAAAATCTGTGAGTGCTCACTCCTGAAACTCTTTCCCAGATTGATTTCTGGAAGCAAACAATGGAATCCAAATTTTTCTAATTTAGATATAAAGACTATCTAATCTATCTATAATCTATCTATGATATTGGGGTCTAATACTATTTTCGGGGAGAACACTGAATAGGCTTGGGGCCACACAGCCAGGAACTGATCCACAATCCCCCCAGGTTGGGTCCCATGCGGGACCCACTGTCCCTGCTGCTGGGCACACGTGTCACTGCTCACACCACTGACATCCATATGGACACCAGTCCCGGCGGCCATGACTGCTGTCACTGCTGCTCCTGGCAACTGGTGTTTTTACTGCCAAATGCGTTCTGCACGGTTCCAGCCTCTGTGTCACTGTGTCCTGAATCGAGTCTGGCATCTGGTCACCTGATGGTGGAGCCTCCTGCCGTGTCCAGCTGCAAGAATGTTGGAGACAGTGGGTTTCCCTCTTTTATGGAGTAAAGTGGCCCCTGCCTCCCACCAAGATTCTACGTGTGTTTTTTTCCTAACATAGGAAGAGAGTTCAGGTGCTGGGGGTCAGGGATGGATAAAGAATGACTAATTTCAATTCTTAAAGCAAAGATCTGAGACTGGAACTTTCTCTGGTGTTTTGTAGGCACTCAGGTTTGGCTGGAAGAACAGAGACTAATAAATGATATCCAAGGTAGAGGTTTACTTGCTCACTGTGAATTTCTTTGTGGGATGGTGAGGGGTTTTTCCCTTCACCCAACCAATTCTCTCATGCTCTGACACCACCGGGGTGTCCTACAATCAGGGAATCCTGCCACTACTTGCAGTCAGCATCAGACCCCACAGGTTATGGCTCCATCCCACAGAGTGCCCTCACTTAGGACACAAGTCATAAGTTTCAGGTCCTCATGTTACCTACACTCCTGTCTGACTCTGGTACTAAATGGGGGTTTCCCATTTCAACTTCAATAATTGTTAGAACAACTCATAGAACTCTGGAAAATGCTAAGCTTACTGTTACAGTTGATGATAAAGGATACAAGTGAGCAGCCAGATGGAGAAGTCCGTAGGGCGAGGTCGGGAAGGGTTCCAAGTGCAAGAGCCTCTGTCACTGAGTTGGAGTGTGTCCCCCTCCCAGCATATGGATGTGTTGACCAATTTGGAAGCTCTCTGAATTCTGTTGATTTAGGGTTTTTTTTGTTTGTTTCTTTTTTTTCTTTTCTTTTCTTTTAGCTGAGCCATCCTGCTACCTGTTGGCAGCTCAGCGGCTGCTCAGCTCGGGCTGGACT